ATTCTCAATTTTTAAATGTCTTCTTTTTTGAAAAAGAAATAAGTCAGAATGTTGCCACTTTTTATTTGCGATCCTCAATGTACTTTTCCCACGATTCTCACCTCCTCTTATGAGCAGAGTTTTCAAGCGAACCCATAAACACAACTGTGCCCCTCTGGGTACTCTGGATCATACAATCAACCATTCTGTCTAAAAAGAAAAGGCTGCAGGAAACTGTTTTCTAGAGCTCAGGTCAGAGTTCTGGACCCTGTTTTGGTTCTTTGAAACACACCAGCTGAGAAAGATCAAAAAAGAGAAGTATCCAGTCCCCAAGGGTGTCCAGGACACACTGCCCAGTCCCTGGGGCCCGGTGGGCCGAGCCGCGCCCCAGCACGTACAGGTGGTTGACAACGAGCCCTCCGCAGAACTCAGGCACCGGGGTTTGGACCAGCGCTATTTCTGTCGCCATGATGGACTCTCGTTTCAGACAAATGCCACCTCTCATGAAAGACCATCTCACGTGTACAAAAGCTTGGGGGCAGTGCTCATGTTGCACTTGCGGTTCAGGACAGGACAGAACCGAGGCACTTCTCCCTGTTCCCGCTGCTGAGCACAGCCAACAGCCCGGGAAGTCAGGGATGAAGCAAATATAAGAGGACTATGAAAGGCGGCGGGAAGAGGCAGTCAGGGGTCTTGGAACCCAAGCACAACACACTGTGAGTTTCCTCCTTTCTTTTTTGGGCCATGTATCCTGGACTGGGTACTAGAAAACCTGTAACCAAAAACTAAACTAAACTAAAAACCATAATGGGTACAGGGGAAAAAAAGAGTCCCCAAGAAAAGCCCGCTCTCCCTTAGCCAAAAGGCCAGGCTAGGAGCAGCCTAGCAAGACAGAAAACGTTTGGAAAGCAACCGCCTCACCCCAGGCAAACATCTCAGGGAAAACTGCAGCTCCAGCCCGAACCCCGTCGGCAAGTCGAGTGGGAGCCCAGGCTGCCACCCTCGCCAGGCTGTGGAAAGGTGTCCCGCTAAAACAAAAGATTTTTTTTTTTTTGAGACAGAGTCTGGCTCTGTTGCCCGGGCTAGAGTGCCATGGCATCAGCCTAGCTCACAGCAACCTCAAACTCCTGGGCTCAAGCGATCCTCCTGCCTCAGCCTCCCAAGTAGCTGGGACTATGGGCATGAGCCACCATGCCCGGCTAATTTTTTCTCTCTATATATATTTTTAGTTGTCCAGATAATTTCTTTCTATTTTTAGTAGAGACGAGGTCTCGCTCTTGCTCAGGCTGGTCTCAAACTCCTGACCTTGAGCGATCCACCCGCCTCGGCCTCCCAGAGTGCTAGGACTACAGGCGTGAGCCACCGTGCCCGGCCAACAAAAGATTTTAATAAGACCCCAAGTCTCATAATACCCAAAACGTCCAGGATGCAACTGAAAATCACTCATGCCACCAAGAGCCAGGAAACCTCAACATGCATGAGAAAGATCATCGACAGGTGCCAGCACTGAGATGTCACAGACGCTAGAGTGATCTGACCAGGATCAGATCATAAGTGGCCGTCATAAAAATGCTTACGTGGACAGTTATAATTATGCTTGAAACAAATGAAAAGACAGAAAACCTCAGCAAAGACATGGACGATATAAGAACCCCGGCCTGCCTACCTCCAGCCTCGTCGGACCACCCGCGACCAGGCTGCAGGAGCGCCCACGTGGACGCGTGGACTCCGGGAGGGAGGGCATAAGCGGGACGTCCCTCCCACCCCCTGCTTCGGGGCGCTGCCAGCCTCCGGGGGCCCCCTCACTTGGCGATGGTGAACAGTGTGGCCTGCGACGTGATATCCCAGATCTTGATGCACCTGTCCAGCGAGACGGAAGCCACCTTCTGGCTGTCGGGGTCAAAGCAGCACGCGGTGATGGACTTCCGGTGATGACCTGTGGCACAGGGAAGTGACTCCTTACCACGCCTCCCGCAGGCTGGGCCAAAGGGCTCGCGCGACGCCCCCAGCCAACGACGATACTACGAACTGCAATTCCAGCTTCCACAAGGGCCTGTGCCCTGCACAGACATTTCCTGAGTGCCTGCTGTGTGCCAGGCTGTGAGCAGGGAGCACGGCCCCCCTGCTCTCTGCCCTCGCTGAGTTCCCAGTCTGATGGGGGAGACTCCGTGGAGCAGGCAGTGACCTGCCTCAGGCCACGGGCCCTGGGACGAATGCACAAGGCCCTCGGCCAGCAGAAGCCTGGCCTGCCCTAAGGGGTCCAGGAAGGGCCCTAAAAGTCAGCGGGGGAAGCAGGAGAGAAAGATGCTCCAGGCAGAAGGAACAGCACGTGCAAAGGCCCGGCGGTGGCCGGAGCGTGGAGAAGAGATGGAGTAAGGGGTGACCCGCTAAGGGAAAGATGCCAGCCGTGGGGCAGTGCACACGTCATGGTGCCACGTGTATAAAAGGAAACCAAACACACATGCAAAGTGCTGGTGTGTTCAGGAGGCCACCCAGCAATGTCACAGTCACCGCCGGGGAGGAGGCGGGATGTGTAAACAGGCTTTTTGCTTTTTACTTGACATAAGGAATTTCTTTACAATGGTTACGGACTTTTTTATTTCGAGACGCCTGTGAACTCAAGTGCAGGCGTAAAGAATAACACGGGGAGATCTGTGTGCCCTTCGCCCCGCTCCCAGCCACATGACATCTTGCGCAACCACCACGGCACAGTGTCGCAACCGGGAAATTGGCATACGGTGGTTACTATTTTTATGTTTTAAAAATATAGGTAGGCCTGGCGCAGTGGCTCACGTCTGTAATCCTAGCACTCTGGGAGGCCGAGGCGGGCGGATTGTTTGAGCTCAGGAGTTCGAGACCAGCCTGAGCAAGAGCGAGACCCCGTCTCTACTAAAAATAGAAAGAAATTAATCGGACAACTAAAAATATATAGAAAAAATTAGCCGGGCATGGTGGCGCATGCCTATGGTCCCAGCTACTCGGGAGGCTGAGGCAGGAGGATCCCTTGAGCCCAGGAGTGTGAGGTTGCTGTGAGCTAGGATGACGCCACGGCACTCTAGCTGGGGCAACACAGTGAGACCCTGTTTCAAAAAAAAAAAAAAAAAATACAGGTAAAAACGTCCAGCAGGCTGAGCCTCCGCTCAACAAAGGACCAGGCTTCGGATGCCCACGCGCGGTCGGAGCAGAACATCATTTCGTTCGTTACAAGCCGGGGACTGAACGGACAAGCATTAGCTGAAGAGGACGGGCCTTGGGTTTAACTGTGCTTGTACCAACAAGTGTCCCAGCAATAATGACGTGGTTTACGCCGTTACAGTCTCACCAAATAAAGCAATCAAAAGTCACAAGTGACAAGCGGCTGTTGCCGCGACAGGCGGAGCAGACAGGGAGCCCGCGCGACCTCACCTTTGACGAGGGAAATGGTGGCGGTGTTCTCCGCGTCCATCACGCAGATGGCGTGACCCACGTCCAAGCCCGAGACCACGTATCTACCGTCGGGAGAAAACTTACAGGAGACGATGAAGGAATCGTGCTCAACCTGCCACTGAAACGGGGCAACAAGCGGAAGGTTGCTGTCTCTCTCGCCCAGGGCCCGGCAGCACCGTCTGTGGGGACGGAAGCGTCCTACCTGGGCTCTGTGGCCACCGTGCACTCGTCACGGGCTAGGCCAGTGAGGGACTGGATTCGTAAGTTTGTTTAACTAATTAATTTAATAAATGTAATGCATTAATCTGCGTCTAGGACGGACGAACGGGGTAGGGAGAGCACCTAGCGGAACGGGCGGCAAGGTCCTAGTAACGGCGACTGTTCCCACTCAGGTCCACAAACAGGTGTTTATCGAATGTCTGCCCTGTGCCTGGGAGTGTGGACAAGACATCACAGCCCCGGCCCCTCACTGTCCCCTGGGGGAGGCTGGCAGCAAAGCACAAAAAGGGGACAACGAGCTCCTCAACACTCTAGGAAAGGGGGACTCACCATATGCTATAAATTGTGTATCACTATTGTAACCGTTTCTAAATATGCCCACAAATTCTTCCGTAGTCCTCCCTGCAAACGGTGGAGCCTGGGTCCACTCCCCTCGAGTGCAGGCTGGACTTAGTGAAGCGAGAACAAGGCAGAAAAGAAAGTGAGTGACAAAGAGGTTATAAAAGAAATCAGAGCTTGCTCCTTGCTCATTCTTGGACCACTTGTTCTGTGGAGTCAACTGCCATGTCCCGGGGACACTCGACTAGCCCTGTGTCTCCATGGAGACCTGCAGGGAGATGAACTGAGGCCTCGTGCCAACAGCTAGGTGAGCGAGCCATCTCGGAAGGGAACCTTCAGCCTCGTGGCGTCTTGAGATGACCGTAGCCCCAGATGACATCTGAACTGTGACCTCACCAGAGACCTGAGCCAGAACCACCCGGTCAAGCCGCCCTTAGGTTTCTAACTGCCAGAAACTGAGTGCCATAATAAACGTTTGTCATGTGAAACTGCTAAGTTGTAATTTGTCAAGCAGCCCTAGATAACCAATTCAGCAATGTAGTTGGCAAGTGGCATGAATTGTTTGTGCAACAAAAATAAACAAAAGTACTTTCAAAAAGTTTAAAAAGAAAATCACCTCAAATAGAAAAACTGGCTGCAGCCAGAACAAGAAATGTATAAGAAAAAATAAACATTTGGAAAAATGCTCAAAGTCAGGAGCAAACAGTGCCAGTCTCACTCTGCACCTACTGAATCAGCTAAAAGTTTTTAAAAATCATGACACCCGGCATGTGGGGGGGAGGGGAGAAGGTGAGCTCTGGTGCCCAGGGCATGAGTTGGCATGGCTTTCTGAAGGCTATTTTAAAACTCCATGTTTCTACACTGTTTAAATTAGCAACGAAATCTAGCTATATATCCTAAAGAAATATTGGAGCATATGTACAAAAAATAAACGCAAACTGTCCTCACGGTAGCTTTGTTTACAATAGACAAAAAGAAAAACAGCCTTAATGTCCTATAGCCAGGAATGGTGAGACAGGGCCCGCCCCAGCTGTTCTGCGGAGTCTCATGGACGGCATTCGAAAGGATGACGTAGACACGCAGTTATTCACGATTTATTGTTAAGTGGGGGAAAGTCGGGGCCCAGAAGGAAGTATGTATGATGACACTATGTTAGCCAGACGCGCTGGCCTGTGTTCATATGGAGGAAAAAACACACCAAGATGTTAGCTGTAAGCAGAGTGGTAGTTTTAAGGTTTTTCTGGTTTTTTAAAAAAATGTGGCTTATCTTGCCTTCCTAAAAATGTTTACGATGAATATAAATTGTCCTTCGCACTAACAAGAAGAGTTGTTTTGTAAGGAGAGAAAAGAAGAGGGAGGGAGAAGACAGGCCGGGAGAAGCTGCCAGCGGGGGTGGGGGGGGGACCCCCGAGGAGGCCCCAGAGCAGGACGGGGAGGGGCGCAGGCCTGTCGGACGGGCGGATGGTGGCCCCCTCCAAGACGGAGCGAGAACCGATTGGGAAGGCCCAGCAACCTGGTTCTTCGGCCACCTTTTGCCTCATGAAATCTGAACATCCCACAGGGAACCCTAGAATACCACCCCCCGGGCCCCTCCCCGGCCACCGCTACTCCTGGCTTCTTTCTGCGTCCCCAAACCCTTCCCGTCTTTCTAGCCAAAGCCTTCCGTCTGCCCGCTACCGGAGGCTTTCCTTCTCCAATGTCCACCCTGCCTCTCCCGCGTCCTCCAAACTCTGCCAGTGGCGGCTCTGTAAGCAGCGGCTGCCTCTGCCGCGGGGCACAGTCCCATCCACGTCTCGGGCCCCTGAGCAAACGCTCCTTTCCTGGAAGACCGGGACTTTTGTCACCTCCCCCTACCCCGGGTCCGGCCCAGAGCTACCTAAGGCCCCGTCAAACCTTGGGCCGTGCCGCCCCCACCGGGCAGGGCACACGTACCAGCAGCTTGCCAGTCTCGAGGTCCCAGGCCCGCAACATTTTGTCATAGGATGCTGCGACAATTCTGGAAATAAAATGACAAACATTGGGGGTTAACAACAAGGACAATCATGCCTGTGGTTTCTATGAGGACTTTTCCTTCTTTTTATAATTTAGGACCGAGGCTGCCAGTGATACAGTAGCCTTCGAGAGCTGCTCCGTGAGCCGGCTGGGAGCATCCTTTGAAACCAGAGAGAGCCTGACACACAAGACGCCGCAGCACCACGAACTGCCTTAATCCTGCAGCCACCCAAATATGCTCTGTTACATTCGGGACTTTAAAAGTATCATTTTGTTTTTGTTGTTCTATCATTTACTTTCTTCTTCTAAGGGGATCTTCGCAACTCACAAGACAATCACTTCCCTCTCTGCTCACACGTCTCTGTTTACGGGAAAAGGCTTTAACAGACGGCTCATTTTGTTCTGAAGGATTTTCTTATACATTTAGCAAAAATATATAAATGTACTTTTGTCCTCTTACATTGTATGTTTCTGTGGAAAGTTTGTCCTCTATATAAATGGTCTCGACGGCTCCGTGAAAGTTAAATTCCCATGCTACTTTTTGGGGGCTTTTATTGTTTGTTGGTTTTTTGGTTTTTTTAATGGACAGGGTCTCACTCCGTTGCCGTGGCTGAAGTGCAGTGGTGCGATCATAGCTCACTGCAGCCTCAAACTCCTGGGCTCAAGCGATCCTCCTGCCTCAGCCTCCCCAGTAGCTGGGACTGCAGATATGCACCACCGCGCCCAGCTAATTTTTCTATTTTTTGTAGAGATGCGGAGGGGGAGGGGGGTCTTCCTATGATGCCCAGGCTGGTCTTGAACTCCCGACCTCAACGGATCCTCCCACCTCAGCCTCCGAAAGTGCTGGAATTATAGGTAAGCCACTGCGCCCAGCCCCCATGCTAGTTTTCTGCTAACTAGTTTTACAGCTGCTGTTGATGGTAAAAGTAAATCCATTTTAAAGCAAACTCCCTTGTCTGTTAAAGGCCCGTCTCATGTCTGCGTGAGTGGATTGGAGCAAACGCACCCTAGAGGCGCTTCTCTGTGTGTCGATGCCCTTGAGCCCTGACCCTTCCCAGCTGACAGCCCCGGCATGCCTCTGCTTCCCCGGGCCTCACCTTCCCCCGAGAAATGAAGGCTTGAATTGCTAAGGACGAAATTGCTAAATGCTTCGCAGGTGCAACCGTCTACAAGTGACTATGGAAAAGAAACCTCGTAAAGAAAATTCAGACTGGCTTTGCATTAGCCACAACAAATTTTCTCTTTTAAGCACTTTATGTTTTCAAAGTGTTACCACATCTGCTTGATTCTCACAGCAAAAAAATGGAAACCAATTTCAGAACAATATATGGGACTATAATTGTATATTTGCTTTAAAAACAAAAAGAAACCCCCCAAAACCAAAAACTATCCCTGACCCGCCTGTAACAAGCCCGCCCACTCTCCTTTCCCCGCTAGGCTTCCGCGAGGGCGAGCCCACCTTCTGCTGTCGGCCGTGATGCTGCACTCTGAGACAGGAGCTTGGGGCTTGGGCTCAAAGTCGCGAACCAGAGATCCATCAACGGCATCCTCGAATCCATGTGGGAGAGAGAGGGAGAGAGTGGTCACTGCCGCGTTTGCTGATGTCATGAGCCAGGGTCGACATCAGCCCTTAGCTTGTCTTCAGCAGATTGTCCCTATGGAGACAAGAGCCCTTCGGCCAAAACAGAAACACCGTGAGTCCTTCCGCTCACTCAAAAGGTGAGAAGAACGTGGGAAGGCTCTAACCATGGCCAAGCAAAATGCATACTTGGGAAAATTACTGTCCCCCTCCCCTGGGTGGCAACAACAGCAGAGACCCCCTCCCCCCGGGGTTTCTCGGTCACCCCAGAGGGTCAGGAAAGGGTTTAAGGCTTCCAGAGAAACCAGTAGTTTTCCCAACAAGGACATCATGGGGCTCTGCGGCTCTGGGGACAGGAGCGTCTGTAAGGACAGCAGCAGAGGCAGGGACTGGATGTCTGCTGGGTGCTGGTATGGGCCACGCAGGTCCTGGGGCAGCCCCAGCACGACTGGTCCTGTGAGATGTGGGGAGGCCCAGGAAGCCCTGTGACCACCCAGGATCACACAGTTGGCAGGTCCTAGGCGTGAGGTCTGAAGCAAACCCTCCTGCCTGGTCAGCCCGGCCTTGCCACCCACTGATGACACCGAAGATGCTCCTCTGAGGTCCTCTGTAGGGTGAGGCACTATTCTCTGCCCAGATATCCAAACTGAACCCAGGAACCAGACGTGACTTGTTTTACCCTCCTGCCCCCGAAGCCAGAAGAGACGGCGAAACTCAGAACTGACCGCCCCCTGTCTTAGGCGACAGCCTCAGCCGCACAACCATCTGCAGCCTGGCTCCAACACCGCTGCCTTCCCCCGGCCTGCCCCCTCCTCGCCCCTCCTGACTGGCCAGCACTCCCCTCACACAGGCCTGCCAGGGCCTGCTGGCTATGCACACAAGGCCCCGGAAGGGTTCCAGATGGCCACCTCTCTGCAATCACCCCCACTCCCGTGTGCCCCAGCCTCCCGCACCTTGGCGTGCTGATCTGTGCTCAGACGGCCCCTCTCAACCACCCTTCATGATCAGATCCCAGGCCTAGCCACCTTTCTGTCCTCTGTGTTTTCCAGATGAGAAGAAGACCCAGAGATGACATAGTTCAGAGACCCCACGTAAGCCCCAAGCACACCTAGGACCCCTCCATCAAAATGTTTGGGGCTGGCCGGGCGCAGTGGCTCATGCCTGTAATCCTAGCTCTCTGGGAGGCC